GCTAGGTTTGTGTGCGGTAGGGTTACAGCTCTATAGCCGAGACGACACGATTCTCGCCCTGGACCTACAAGCCCATATAGCCCAGGCATGCGCAGAGGGCTGGCGTCCTACCCGCCCTATTGCCCGAGGAGGACAGCCCCCAACTTTGGAACCGCCTTTCGAGGTGCCCAGGTCTACGCCTCCGAACAGGTTCCCATTAGAGTCGTTCGGCCCAGGCCTATCCCGGTTTATATATTCTAGAGAAGCCGAAATGGAGCAGGCCTCTAAAACACAAGCTGAGGACGACGTGCAACCTATCGGCACCGACCCGGGTCCAGCGGATACAGCCTCGCCGCCCATACCAGACGACGACTACGAGGCCCTGCTGGTGGCACGCTTTGCGGCGGAGCACGATTCCTCCTCGGAGTCCGAACAGCCAACGGAGGCGAAGCCTTCCGAACCTATAGCCTTCAGCCTTTTTAGGAATGGACCCTGGGGATGTATACACGCTTGTATCGAAGCCTCTGACAAAGCGGCATGTGGAGCTGCTCGCTCTGCCGCAGCCTTTAACCCCACGGATCCGGACCCTACTTTCTTTTGCCGCCGAAAGGCCTGCGCTAAGCTACTGGACTCGTGGGAATGATGAAACGGTCGACACGGCGCAGCCTCATCAAGCACGGCAATCGCCACAGTCGCCTTTAGCCGACACAGAGGGACCACTCGACTACTCAGCCATTTCTCAAGTTAGCCTTCCGCCCTCCGACAGCCATGTCTAACTCCCCAACCTCCGATCTGGCCAGGTTCCTGAAGGACAATGCCGTCCATGAAGTCCTATCACAGGCCCTGGCCCTGAAAGGCCTGGAGACGGTGGAGGACCTGGCCTATGCCTATCCCGACTTAGCCAGCCTGGACAGCCTCCTTTCCAGCCTCTCGGATGACGACATGAGCGAAATGGGCGCAGCTGACGCCCTGCACGGAGTCCAGGCTGCCAGACTCCGCCGAGCTCTGCGAGCAGCCCACGGCCTCTCTCACCAAGCACACCAGCCCCCGCCCACGCCGGCTGCGGAGACTTTGCCCTCCGTCCCAGCCGCTCTGCTGCCACAGGCCTCTCCCACGTCCTGGATGGA